GACTGGCCGCCTGCAGGACGCAGACTTCATGCTCCCCACGGTCATGGGGCTTTGCTCCTCGTGGGGAGGGATCTGGGGGACTAAGGAGTGTGTGGTACACCTGCAGGGGGAGTCCGGCCAGGGGGCGGAAGCCGCTGGGGGTTTTCCTGGAGGGAGACCAGGCCTGGGCCCTGAGCGGGCATTGTCCGGAGAGCTAGAAGGCCCAGCCCAGGCCGTGGGAGGAAGGAGGGAGGCAGCCCGGCACCTTGCAGAGAGCTGACATCAGTCACAGCCCACCATTCTCCTGGAGGCTCCTCCGTGTCTGGCCTTCCTCTTCCTTGTGTGTCTAGCTCGGCCCCACGTCACCTTTCCCTCCCACCTCTCTCCCCGCCCGACAGGTCCACTCTGACCAGGTGCTGCAACGCCCCCTCCTTCCTCTTCACCACCCAGAAGAACACGCCCCTGGGGACGAAGCTCAAGTATGAGGTGGACACCAGCGGCGTCTATCACATCAACCAGGAGATCTTCCGCATGTTTCCCAAGGTGCTGTTTTCTCGGTCCCCGGGGCAGCGGTGATGGGGCGGTGCCCCTCTGACTCTCTGCCCTCTGAGCCAGTCCTCTTGGTCCTGGTTGGCCAGCTCCAGGTCTAGTAATCCCCGCTCCTGTCTCCTTGGGGCCCTGGCCCTGGGCATTCTCTGGGGGCTTTTGGCATGAAGGTGCTTACAGGGTTCCGGTGGGTGCACTGCTCACAGGGGACGTCCCCAAGAATGTGTCAGCTCCTGTCCCACGTCAGGCCCGTGAAGTGGCCCAGGGTCAAAGCATGTTTGCAAACCCTGTCTGCGTTGTAAACCCTAAACAAACCCAAGCCAAGGCCCCAGTGTGGTTCTCTGTGGGGTGAGCTCGGCGATCTTTGCTCTCAGTCACTTAGGTTGGAGTTGGACTGGTTTGACTGTTTGTAACAGAAAAAGCTAAAATATCGGAATCAAGCTAGAAGTGTCTTTTTTTTGCTTGTTTTGCATAATAAAAGCCTGGATGGGCTCTTTGGGGCAGTGTGGGGTGCTGCGGTGCCTGGGGCCAGACAGCGCTGCACACACTCCAACTGTCCAGGGAATGAAGCTTAGGCGCCGGCACCCATTTCTGGGCTGAGCGTGGTCCAGACCTGCAGCCTCAGCCTGTCAGGGGCCTGGGCTTGGAATGTGTCTTCTCAGCTGATCCTGATGAAGAGGAGGAAGGACAGTCCCACGGGAAGGGCTCCGGGACCAGGGCAGAGCTTCGTCGGCTGGTTTGTAGAAAGGTAGCTTAGGGGCAGATTCAAGCCATTCGGGATGAGACATGAGACAGTGTCCCCTCACTCTTTGGCGGACCACCAACTAGGCGAAGCCCAGTGTCGCTCGCTGCATTACGGGCACACTGGCCAGACGTGGGAGTGCGGAGGAGGTGCCGGAGGTGGTGATGTCGAACAGGATGGAGGCGGAGTGTGACTCTCTTCACACACCTGGGTCTTGCCAGGCCAAGGACACAGCCGTCCACTGCATCTCAGGTGGTCAAGGCCGGTGAGTAGAGCACAGCCAGGTTACCACACACGGGTCCAAGGAGGCCCATTGAACTGCAGTGGTTCTCAACCTTTCTGATGCCGCGACGCTTCATACAGTTCCTCATGTGTGGTGACCCCCAACCATAAAGTTATCTCAGTTGCTACTTCATCACTGTCATTTTGCTACTGTTAAGAATCGGGCAACCCCTGTGAAAGGGTCGTTCAACCTTCAAAGGGGTCGTGGCCCACAGGTTGAGAACCGCTGAACTAGAGAAAGACTGGCCAACCTTGTTCAGTAGTTCAAGCTTCCCAGGCAGGCTGTGCCACTGTGGACAACTACTCAAGGCGGTGGCCGTGTTAGCGCAGAAGCAGTCATGGGCGGGCTAGAAATGAATGGGCGTGGCTGTGTTGCAATGGAAGGTGAGTCTTCGTTTTACACTGAAATTTGTGTTTTTATGGTAATTTTCAGATGCCACAAAGTATTTTTCCTTTTGGTCACCTGAACGTGTTAAAGCTATTCTTAGCTCACTCGCTATACAAAAACAGGCCGCAGGCCTTATAGCACCAACCCTTGGATTAGAGCAGATGGTGGTGTGAGGCTGCTAACTGCAAGGTCAGCAGTTTGAAACCACGAATTGCTCCATGGGAGAAAGATGAGGCT